GTGTCAGAAAGGAAAGTGTGGTCTCACACTGGCCTCTATTCACTACTGCATTACTCACAAGTTCTCCTCTACCCAAAGATCTGCCTTTGTTTCATCCTGCTCTTCTGTAGCTTCCATAGTTAATTTTACTACCTTCCTTTTCCCATTCTCTGCAGCTCTGGGAGACAAATGCATCACTCCAGGCTTGCAGCAAGTCCCCAAAATACCAATGACGTACAATCGCCTTAATGGGGTATTTTCCCCTTTAGCTGCTCCAAGCAGTGAGATGGATGTTCAACCCATACTCCTGCAGTGACACAGCTCAGAGACACAACAACGTGGGTGTGCATGACCGTGGAGCAGCTAATGTGTTTGGCTTCATGGACTTCTGATGATGATGCTGATAGTAGGAGGAAAGTAATAGTAATCGGATCAAATAATTCCCTGCAGAAACGTCCCTGTGATCTCCAGGTATCATGTGCTTGTGTGAGCAGGACAGTAGCACTAGCAGGACACGAACAAGTGCGTCAACAAGTGGCTTCATCCTCTGCTCTGTTTGGAGACTCAGACAACACCAGTTCTTCGGAGCACACTTGAATATGCTTATACAACCCAGGACAGTGGTTTGTATCTTAGGGGTTGATCTTTAACGGTCCCTTCCAACCCAAACCATTCTATGATCTGGCATTACTATTACTGCTCATCAAGGAGGATATCCCAGCAACACATTAACTCAATTCCACAGCTCTGCTTACCTTCATTCACACTCTGACAGTGAGTGATGAGAAACCCTTAAAGAGATGGCTATATTTCTATGCACAACACACAACATTCTGCTTCTGGGCAGAAACTGCAACCCAGTAAGAAAAGCACAAACCCAACAGTTCAGTCACTTCCATTTCCAGTTGGTTGGAACAGGCATATTTGATATTTTGGGTGAATAACAATAAAATCTAAAGCTTATCAAAACAAGCCCATGTCCCTTTACTAGGTACACTTTGGAGTGAGCTGGAGTGGGAGTTGTGAGCACAGCTCTTGCAGAGGAGGGACTGCGTGGCCAACTTGCCCAGAAGTCGGGGACCATGGTCTGCAGCACAGCAATGATGTCTCGAGTCTTGGGGCAGCTGCACTCCCTGCCTTATTAAAACACTTTTCTAAGCTACTCTCCCAATCCAGGTGGGTTTATTCATAAAAATACTCACTCCAAAGAGGTAAAAAGATTTGCAGCCAAAACCAGAAGAGCTTATTAATATCAGTAGGCGTTTTACACTCATTCAGCAACCAGTACTGAGCAGTGAGTATGTCAAGCTCCTAATGTAACAGGCACGCTTCCTATGGCCAGTAAAATCCTGCTTACTTAATTCACCTTTATTTTTAGTATGGCACTCTAAAAGTAAGTGCAATGAGATGCCAGTCTTGCATTTCTAAACTTAGCAAGAGAGAAACTCAAGATTAAGGAGGACTGCCCAATGAAAAAGAAACCCAGTTTAGGTGAAAAATACATTTGTCAGAGGAAAACTTCAGTATTACCTGAAAGCAGTTAAGTATTCTGTGTCTCCCATCGGTGGATCAAGGCCACCAGTAAAGGCCATGTTAACATTGAAACCAACTCCTGCTCCTGTGCCAACCTGAAAAAGAGAGACAGTCCTCTCAATTACACATACAGAAACAGCGAACAGTGGCAACACATCTCTGCTGTCTTAGTAATCTTCCAGTTGAATATGGATTTCAATTCAATAGCTTGGAGGTAAGCGAGATTAATTTTTCCCTCTAGAGTGAAAAAAAGCTCCTCCATGCTGTGATCTCTATGGGAGCTGTAGGCCTGCAGTGTTTGACTGCTGATCACTCTAAAACCACCTCATCACCAAGTGGATCCTCCTCCCTTTTGTTGAAGAGTGTGTTACATGCAATACTTTGCCTTAATTAGTTTTCAGCTTTATTCAGAAACATATTTTATATTTCATTAACAGTCGCAACTGGGGGAAAAAACCCACAGTTTTAATCAGAGCGAGCTCCCCCTCTGCTGGGGAAAAATATGATTCCCAGTGAAGAGAGTTTTGCTGCTTGAGTGACACGTGGGTGGTAAACATGAGTATATCCCCATCCTTGCGTGTACTTCAAACATCCCCATCTGCACTGACTGCAAATATATGAGAAAGGTGAAAAACAAAAAAATCAACCAGGGGTTTCCAGTAATTCATTTGCAAAAAGCAGGGCCATGTTTTCCTCATCCTCACTGAAACCCAAAAGCCTGTGGTCAGTCCCTTCATTAATCGGAGACTCACGGCTGCCTGAGTGTGGGTCCCTGGGGACAACAAGGGAGCGGGGCAGCATCTGCTGCCACTGGGTGTCAGCAGCTCCGCACAGGGCTCTGAGCTCCTACACACATAGTTTGGGTTTTGTGGGTTTGTAGGTCTCTGCACATGAAAACAGGAGTATGGAGTGGATGGTATAGTCTAGTGCTTCCTTACAATACCAGATATTTTGTAAAACAGATTACTAGATTATTAAAAGGTCAACAAAAAAGTAATTCTGAGACCTTTGTGTATCCTGAAGCAGAAATCAAGCCTGACGCAAAGGGTTGCTGCTTATTCATTACAATGATAGTGCACAACAGGGTAACGAAGCAGTATCACATCACGTTTAAGTTTCCTCAGAAACTAAAATAGCAACATCAGTGTTTGCTGAATGGGAAAATGTAAAATTCACAGGGTAAGAACTCCAGGAGTTTTCATATAATCTGGAGTGCCTCGGAGTACACAAAACTAAGTATTTAATATAATTTTCCTTCAATAAATCACTCTTGAAGGACAGTATTTCCTGCCAACCTAGAGGGAAAGGAAGGATGCAACAGATGTAGGAGCATCCATCCAGAGCTCAGGGAGAAAGGTCTTCACCCTTCCTTGGCCCAGCTCTTCTGCTGCAGACTCTGAAGACACCACCAGGAACCGGTGGATTTGGTCCAGCAGCATCAGTGACCAGTGCTAGAATCCCACTGTCTCGGGGCCATGCGATAGAAAAGCAGCAGTGTCGGCGAGCGGTGCCTTGGCAGGGCCAGGAGAAGTAGGGGATGGCTAGGCTCCAAGGCCATGCCACGAAACCCAAGTGCTGGTGGCACAACCATGGACAACCTGTTCCTCCTGCATCTAAGAAACAATTTCTGCCTATGAGGAGGAAGTCCTGAAAAGTACACAGAGTGCTGGGACAGCTGGCAAAGGGCTCCTCTGGAACAGGTTGTCCCATAAGGGCTGGAGATCCTAATTGCATTGACTCATTTTCTGCTCGTTAGCCAAGGCACACGCTTTCCTGCCAGCTCACGAGGCAGGACACAAAGCCCACGGCTGTTAGGACTTGGCTGAGAAGGCACCAAATGCACAATGGCCCCAGAAGGGCACTAACAAGCACGAGCGTGGGAGCAGTGGCAGGAGCTTCTCTCCAAGCCTTGCCTTGAAGCGATTTTGGATGAGCACCTGAATCACAGCCCCGAGGCAGGTCCTATTGGACACGGACGGATGCTCTGCTGATCCACTCTCTTACCTCATCGGGTGCACCACTGCCTGGAAAGAAGTTCCCGTCATCATAGCGATGTAGTGAAATATAAAGAACATTAGGATCATTGTAGAAAGCTTGCTGAGTACCATTCCCGTGGTGAACATCCTTCGGGGACAGAGATTGCATTAGGGAGGTTAGTACCTTAGCAAAAATGCAGATTCAAGCCAACAAGTTGGGATTCAGAAGGCTTTTCTTTGCTGTTGTGCTTCGTTTTCTGCACTTTCTCTGATCTAGCTGAAGCAGGTTTTCGCAAATGAGAGTAACCCACTTTGCACACTCCCCATTCAACAAACAGGATAAATGGGGTTAAACACATTCCCAAGTATATACCAAAGCTGAGGACAGGATCAATTGACTTGGATGGAGAGAACTGGATTCGTTCCCAATCTTGAGGGATGGAGACTACATTAGTTGCCCAAAATCTGCATCTCTACTTGGTCTGTGGGGTGACCACTGATACAAGTGTCCAGCAAAGTTGTGTTGGACTCAACAAGGTTAAAGGACACAAACCCGCTGCCCAGATCCCCTACTGCATTGCTACTTGGTGCAGAAACACAGTCTGTAACAGGACAAGCATTCAAAATGCCCCTTCTCAACATGAAAAAGTTGATGGGAACTGAGGAAAAATTTCTCCATCCAATAGGTCAAAAAGACAGATACATCCATTTTAACTTGTGGGCCTTGCCCATGGAAGATTTGTGGCAATCTAATCAAAACTCTTGGCTGCTACCCAGCAACTCAAATGCCTTCACAGCCACATAAATACATTTTCACATCTATAAAAATCCATCAGGCACATTTTCAAAGCTATACATCGTCATTGCGAAATCCCAAACAAGCTCTTTCTCAGCTCCGCTGTGCTGTCTGCAGAGTATTTCACTGCCTTGTTCCAATTTAGAGATCGCTTTTGACTGCCTGCCCCCTCACATGGAGGCTGTGCTGGCCCAGAGGCAGGACACTGAGACCATCCAGACTGCTGGTCGAGCCGTGCCAGACAGCCCATCCCTCTCAGTAAGCAGTCTTCACATCTTGAAAAGAAAGCTGGGATGGATCGTAACAGTTAAGGTCAAATAACTTCAGGAAAAAAAAAACAAATCAAAACAAACAAGAGAGCATGGTTTGCAGTTACCCATCCTTGAGACTGTGTTACGGGCTTGTTTTAGAAGCAACTACTTATTAATTACGATTTTATTTTGAAAACTACGGACCCTTTAAGAAATATTTTTTATTAAGACACTTTAACAATATTAATAAAAAAGCCTTTAAAAAACTAATTTTGGCTTGCAGACCCCAGGCAACCTTATTTTGCTTACAAATCCATGGTTGCCCTTGCAACAACAACAAAAAACAACAATTTCCACCTGCTCTCCTGAAGGGGAAGAACTGGTTTTTACTCACCCAGTCCACTATAAGGATTTTGCTAACATTCAGTCTTTGCTGGAGCAGCTTGGCTGCGATTGCCACGGAGTTAAAATAGCAGAAACCCCTGGAGGTGATGAGAGGGGAGAGACAAGAGGAAAAGGAGAGGTGTTACTGATAGGCTTCTCTGGTCCTAATGCATCTATCATCTAGGTATAACACAGTGGGAAGAAATTTCTTCTGCTTTCAGTCTTCTGTCCTCCCTGGAAGATGCACGTGTGTTAAATTACAGACATAATATAGCCACACAGCAGGTGTCTTATGATCTCTCTGGAAGTGGGGAATGATTTCAAAACCACTACGCCCTCTTCTAGAGAATTACTGGGAGCAATGAATATAATAGTGTTTTGCACATCAATAAGCAAGATATTCTACAAGAACAACCTAACAATCTACTTTTCTGATTTCCCATCACACAACAGATGAACAACGAAGCAAGCTGGTAAAGCACATACACATACTTACATGGGTGTGCTCTCTTCTGCATGGTGACCTGGAGGCCGAACAACAGCAAATCCATTCTACACACAAAAAATAAGAATATGAGTAAGTGAGACAGGAAAGGTTTATTACACAAAGACAGATGCCGAGGTTGAAGCCAGAAGTGTTAATTCTGCTTTGGAAGTATGCAGTTGTTCATGATGGTTTTCTCACAGGACCATGGCAGTGGATGATGTTCTCCCTTGTTTAGGAGGCAGGGGGGAAGTAGTCTATATTAATTTTATGGAAACTGGTTGGTACAGCATTTCCTTCCATTCAAAAAAAAAATTACTCTGCATGAGGTCACTGAAACAGCAAACGGGCTGGCCCAGCTGAAGGCAACAGCAAGACCCTCAGGTAACACTGGAACAGTGACTTCACTTACTGCTCTGGTTTCTTCCTTTTTAATCGGTGCATAAGAACATTTACCAGGAGTCTGCTGTTCACTTGCTGATATCCTCAAAGATTTTTACGACTGCAGCCAGATGGTACCATTAAAACAAAGCTAACTGGACCTCCTGAACAACACAGCTCTGAGCCAAGGCCCAGAGAGAGCCTGTACCAAAGCCAAAGGTGCTTTTCATACCAACCTTCAGTTCTCCTGTGGCTACTTTGAACACGAGCTCAATGACACAGCCCACGGCCAGGCGAGCGGCACCAGATGAGTGAACCTCATTCCAAATTGTGTCACTGTCCACCTAGCGGAAAACACACAGGAATCACGTTTAGGAGCAATGAGCCCAGTCAGGAAACAGAGACCCATGTTTCATGTAGAAGCTATTAATATCTATTAAATGCATAAATATATCTATTAAATGAATCAAAAGCACATTTATGCATTTAATGGATATTTATACATTAACTTTAAAGGCATTAATTTCAAATGCATTACATTGCAGAACTGATCTTGGCAGTATCAGGACTGGGACCTCACCAATGACTGTAACATCTTTGCTACTGAGTGTCCATCCAACCAAATGACCCTCAAGAGATGACCACTTGCAACAGCTCTGCAATGCTAGAGGCTCAGTGCCGTAACACAGAAGCAAATTCAGCATCTCAAGCACTGTAAATTTGCAGGTGTCACCTACCAATGCTCCTACCAACAGCACGGTATAGGTATTTCTCTTTAATTACTGGAGGAAACTGATCCCAGATGAAATAAAAAAGGTTTATGAAATCATTCAATGATTCCATAAAATAAATTTAAAAACCCGAAAACACACAATAAAGGATGTTTAATAATGGATATTTAAAAGATGCCTGCCCAGGACTGCCAGGGTAAGGTTGTGCTGACAGCAGCTTCCCTGGGGAACCAGGGATAAGATCAACCCTGTCTCATCAAAGCTAACAACAGAGCTTCAACATCTAGTTGCTAACTACAGACATGTACTTCAACACTAAATATTTGACAGGACCACCATCCTTTATATTTTCTTCTGAAAATATGCAAAAAGCCAAAGGCAAGGCATTCTGCAGACATCCCCATATCATTACTATACGAGATCACATCCTAATTTAAACAAAAAGTGCAAAGTGTTGGCTTTTACCACATTCATCCCCAAAAAACCATCCGAAGACAAGATTAGCTTGCAGACATGCAATGAAACGCCTGTTCATTTTTTTTTTTTACTGCCATTCAGCCAGCAACTCTGCAGAGAGCAGAGGGGGAAGGACGGCTCCCGGGGGGGCTGTTTGCAGGCTGAAGCTCTGGATCTCCTCCACTGCACCCCCGGCCGTCTTGTACATAGTGATGAAAGCCAAGCTTGTTTGCTTCTTGCCAGTCACAGCTTTTGCAAAAGCCAGACCGCCGACACTGTCCCATCCCGGCAACATCGTAGGATAAATGCAACATTTCTCTGCAGAAAGGATCACCAGCTGTTTTTTCACATTTTACTCTGTGTTGAGTGTATTTATGGAATTGCAAAGGAGAAGGAAATAAAAGATATTATTTGTTTTGTCTGGCATCCAGTCTGCTCACTGAGCTGTGGGGTGAGGCAAGTTGCCCCACACGAGATTGATCCATCTCCTTCATGGGTGTGCTAAAGTTGGTGGAAATCGTCACAGGCCTGTTATCAGGGATGGCTTCTGGCAGCATCTGCCCCAAGGATGCTTTTGAAGTCACAGTAAACCAACAAAGCACTCGGAGAATACCAAAAAGCTATGTTACTGTGGTAATGCTGCCAGTAAGTGCAGTTTTACACTCTGGGGAAAGCCACTGATCGGTGGAAAAGCCCTACAGTGACTGTTTGTGGTATGATGGCTCCCTGGACCTCCATAAATTTGGGCAGTAACATGGGAATAGAAGTACGATGGAGTCCGAGTTATGCATGATACCTCCAGGAGTCCTGGACCAGTCCTGCCCTAGTGCAGGAGACAGGACTGATCTGATGATGTCCCTCCAAAAGCCCTTAGCAAGGCAGGAAGAAGACCAAGCTGCTTCTCCTCCCCACTGACCAGTGTGTTAGCTCTCTAGGAGGGTCCATCTTTGGGCTCCTCATCAGCAGTCCTGCAAAAACACTATGGGGTGGTCAGACTGCTTAGCAATCAGGATGACACTACTACATTCCCTGGGGGAAACCAGCAGTTTCATCCACCACCTGCAACTGGGACACACTCATGATTTAAACAGCAGAGAAACTGCCTTTTGCTAAAAGCCAACCACCTCAGTGCCCCTGGTCACACTTTGCTCAAGTGACATACAGCTGCACCATGCAGTCTGGACCGAGCATATCTAACCCATCTTTGAGCATATCTAACCCATCTTTCTTGGTCTTGAAAGAAAACGCTACAGGGCACCAGTAGCTAAGACATTCTCTCCTGGCCCTTCCACAGCAAGCACTAGGCCTGTTCTATGAATGCAGAACTGCAGAGGGCCATCTTCATTCATCATGAGGCACCTGAGGAATGGGAATACAGAAAACCAAATTTCACGTGTTCTAAGCATGGCATTACCTAAAGGACCAGCAGATTCTTGGATCTCCTCAGACATCTGTTTGTGCCAGCCTTCCCCATACAGTACGTAGAAATCACCAGTGCCTGAGCCAAGCACTGCCATGTTCAGGCTCTTTGACGCCTGCAGAAACCAGGCTAGTGTTGGCAGCATCTCAAGAAGAATGAGGAGGGCAAGACAAAGCGGTTTTAAAGAGTTATTATTTCTGCAGAAAGAAATCAGGTATTTACAAAACAGCATTCCATCTGTGCTTCAGAAGCCTACTTCAGGGGCCATGCCATGCCCTCACACTCAGCTCCCCAGCAGGAGGAGGACTGGATCCAGAGATATCCACTATCACCCACTTGTAGCTCTCCACTGCCCCATCCCGCCTGCAAGCCTCTCTGAGATAAGGATTTAACACTCCGCCACCTTCCCCGGAATGGATGTCTGGAGACCACTGGGTCCTACTTGGAGGCAGCACTTCATCATCTGTGTGACTGTAAGTGTTTGAACAGTCCCACTGAAGCCATCAGTGCTCTGCAGCAGGGGCGCGTAGACTCTGCCATGGAAATGGTGGAAAATGTTATTAATGTGGCCCTGAGCTGGACTGCTCTCCAGCTCTGAAGCTGCTGCTGTTTGGTGCACAGGCTGCTGTTGACCTCTCCGTCATTCCTGAATTTTAAAGTTCATTATAAGCGAGACGCTATTTGGCTTTCCCTGCCTATGAGCTCTTTGATGTAGCTGCCATCACAGGAGTTGTTGCTGGGACAGCACATCAAGCCTTACCATCTGGAAGGACTTTACGGAGAGAGGAAGCATATTTCTTGCCTTTTGTTGATCCAAGGGAGTGTATTTCTCTTTTTTCTCCCAAGCTGGAGGATACAACTGCATCAGAGATACTGAGTCTTCCACATCTGCCGCTGCTCGATGAGAAGCGGTTCTCCTGGTCAGCACACTCATCTTCTTGAGTAATATTAATCCCTTGCTCATTCCAATAAAGAAGCTGTCATTTCTACTCGGTGAGCCCACAGGAGAGGGCTTTAGAGGTGGGGAGAGGGACTTCAGTGCCTGGGACCTGCTGCAGGCTCTTACCATTCGCAGCATGTAGTGATGTACTGTTATTGAAAAACGATGAGGGAACACAGAAGAGGAAGGGTCAACAGTTTGGTGCAGGCTCTCTTCTATGGGGAATGTCTAAAATGTTTCAGGGTAAAACTTTAAAGTTTTTCCTTCCTTATAACTTGAAGCCTTTATTAATACACATGATGAGGATCCTACTCACATTGTATAATACGCTGTGGCTATTTAAGAATGAAATGAGGAGAGTCTCATAAAAGGTTTCATTATTCTCATCTTTTCTTTAGCTGAAGAGCTATACAGATAAGAAATTAAACATTGGTATGGGTAGAAACAAGTTGCACGGCAGCTCCAGCCTCTGCAGAGCAGAGGGGAGTGAAGGAGTTCTGCTCTTCCCTCATCACTGCTCCACACCATGCTTACGTGACAGCAGCACGCACTGTCCGTGCTGCCAGCGAGCTGTCTTTACCTGACCACGTCTCCTACTGCTGTAGAGCACTGATTCAATAACCGTGCTCATGTTTTGTTCTTCTAAGACTTGCTAATTAGTCCCTTCTCATTTGCATTCCAGGGAAGTCCTTTTCGTTGTCTCTGCACTGCGGTAACGTACATTGCTCGCACAGGTGAGGATTTTTATATGCTCTCATCAAGACCTTACAGCCAAAAATAGACTAACATATTCTGGAAGAGATCAAAAACATTACGAAAGTTTTTTAAAGCCCTGTATCTTCAGATATTTTTAGAATGTGAATGGAAAAAAATACTACACACGAAAGAAAACAAAGTTGTTAGCTATCATAAGATCAAGTCTTTGAGTGTTTTGAAGAATTTGGATGTAAGTATGCTGGAACTGTTTTGCAGATTTTCAAAGCTCCAATGCCTTTCTCCAAAACTTTCTTCTAATTATCCTGGATTATGTGATGCTCTGGTGCATGTAAGTCATACATTAAGAAAAAAGCGTGTGCTGCAGAAAAGTGAAGGTAATGTCCTCAGTAAAAATACTGCATACTGCACTCGCAGATGCTGCTAAGATCAGCAGGCATAAATTGCTGCTGTTTAAATCAGAGCTCACATCTGTTGATAGAAGTGCTTCTGTGCTTTCTTTCTTCCCTGCTATGATCAGATGTCTGCAGATGGGAAGAGGTTTGTTAGCGTCAGCTACGGTGATGTGAAGGCTTCTTCGTACAAAGCAAACCGATGAGGAAAAAAGAAAATAAATCAGCAAGAGCTTCCAAGAACCGGGGAACAAAATTACCCTTTTTCTCATTGATTTTGAGAAACTGTCACCTAGATTTTCAGCAGAGAGGTTGAAAGGTGTTACACAATGAAGCAATTTGCTCTAAACTTTTTCCTGTTCCTTCGGTCTTCAACTTTGTCTCAATTGCTGGTAAGAACAACTCGCGGTTCCCCAGGCTCCAGATTCCATCCTTCTTCTTGGCACTTAACAGCTCTTCATGGGCTTCTCCCTCATAAAACTGCTCTACATTGCCTTTCAGAACCATCTATTATTTTAACCAACATAACGTCCCCTATGGAAGAGAACTGTCTTGTTTAACTGTTTGCAGAAAAAGAACTTGGTTTCAAGCTTTCCAGGCACAATTTTCTCTGACATCTTCCGCTCCTGAATTACAAGGAACAACAATCATTCAACTTTCACCTTCTCCAGGCCGATCCCCCTCCTGCCCACAGGCATTATTTTGCATCTAACACTGAACCGAATGTGCCATATTGCTACTACATTACTTGTTTCTCATTATCATGTCATTATCCACATTTCTTTGCGGGCAAGCTTTTGCTTTGCTGACCTTAAATTAATTAAACACCATCAGCAAAGGAGTAACTTGCTTATCACCCATGTCTTGCATTGCAACATGTCAGTGAACACCCAGATTCTGAGGGATTATAGTTCTGACCACTATTTCCCATCTTCTAACCACTAATAAATACAAAAGAGAACCAGTCCCATCTTATACTACTAATTTGTGAAAGCTTTTTTTTCCTCCCCCTTTCCTTTTTTTTTTGGCACTATGCTTGTGTTTGCCCAACCTGGAAAGCACTTGGCAGACCAGGATCAAGGTCTCCAGGGCAAAGCCTCCTTATGAAGTAGTCAGCCAGCTGGAAAGCTGTCCAGCATCATTGTGAGCTGACTGCAAAGATCCATGAAGCATCCCCTAGACTGCACTTATTGAGTGACAAAGTCAGAGAAAATAAAAGCTCTGCTGAAGTAAATCCCTTCTTCTTCAAAGCTGGGCCACAAACCATTGGTAATTTGAGGTTATGTCCTACAGGTGCTCTGATTACCATGCGGACCTCATGTCCTTCACCATCAGGAAAATATTCATCAGTGTGAAGTGACTGGAGCCCATACAAACTTCTTAAAGCACCAGGGCTGTCTCTCCACAACCTTCTCCACTTGTAAGAAAAAGATAAAACAGATTGATTACCGCTCAGTGATGAGTAATGTTCTGCCAACCTGGCAATCTCTAACAGGAGAGAGTCTAAATAAAACCCCATCACTCAAAAAAACTACACGGCCAACTTACAGCCTGAAAATGGCCTGAAAAACAACTCTTAAGCTCTCTTGCTTGAATAATTTGAAATAATTTCATTATACCATAACAAGCACTCAATCTCGCAGCAGCATTCACATGCCAAAACTTCTCAGACTTACATTACACTTCCTCTCATATGAAAATTCTTTCTAACTGATGCTTTTACCCTAGGCTCTGATTTTTAAAAATCTTTTATTTCTCATTTCCTCAGAAGAAAAAACCCAAAACATTACACGGATCTCAAAAACGTCTTGTCATCCTCTTTGGTGCAGAAAATAATTTGGTTTTCATCTGCTACTGAAAGGCGTGCTCTGTGGCCCCAGATAAGATCCAACTATGGAGGCTTCTTCCAACAGTTTCCCATAGCAAATCAAATCAAGAGCAACGTGTCTCAGAACTGGCACGCTAACAAAGACTAAAGTTTCCCCTCTATTTCTTCAGTAAACATACCACGCTGCTAAGCCAGCTTTCTAGACAAATCTCACACTTCGAAAGACAGTAAGGAAGTGGGATTGAAAGGATCTCGTGAGATCACTGGAGACGGTCTATGCTTAAACCCATCCAAAGCACGTACAAGTGAAAAGCAATTGAAATGCTATGGCAAATCATTCTGTACCATGGCCTCATTTTCCTCACAAACATATAGCTGGGGTCTATATACTAATTAGAAATGCATCCCAAAAGCAGTGAGGACTGCGTTTTTCTGCATCAGCTGTGAAAGGTGCAGATGTACACAAATAGTCGGCACTGAAACCTGAGGTAAGCGGGGAAGGAAAACCAAGCAAAACAACAGAAATCCATTTTTTACAAAAAATCTATCACATAGTTGATTACTAGTAAATTACTGGGTTTAAAAAGGTTCTCCTAGAAAACATGAAAATATCTGTTGAAATTGCTAAAGCACTGTACTAAAGTCAGCGAATGTTTTACTTAATATTTAAGGGTCTGTGGAGACAACCGACCAGCACATTAACTGCAAACGCTATCTTTATTGTGTGTACTGATAATACCAGCACTGTGGCATTTCCTGGCTTGATTTAGGATTTAATGCAAGACTTCTGGGACCACGCTAGGCTCAGGCACTGTCTCTACTTGTTACCATTCAGTCTTCATTTGCAAATGATAATTTTTGCTTTGAATGGCATGCCTGACTGCAGGGCAGAGTAAATCCAAACCTTTTAAACTCTAGCCAAAAATTTGCCATGAATTAGGAGACTGCAGCATATTTACAATACAAAATAAAATATCTCTACAAATGCTCAGTGGTGGTGGTACGAATAAACGCCGATTATTCCTTTTTTTTTTTCCTTCTTGATGGATAATTTTCAAAGCAGCGATTTTGCAAAGACTCAGGAAGAAAACAATTTTGTTTCATTTCCATAACAGAATCCAGACCTCTAAATTCAACCTCACGAGCTACAATTATGCATAAGAACTACCACTGTGAATTTTCAAACACAATGCCTTTTATTGTCTCTTCTCATTCTTTTCCCTTCCTGTTCTCTGAGATTTTCTGTACTGTCACCCTTCACAGAAACTTTAGAGCACAAAGTCTGACTTGAAAGGGAAACTTTCGAATTTTCAGGCTTCAAAGGGAAAAAACAACACAAACCTTCAACACGAGGTATTGGAACGGTATTTGGGCTTTTTCAGCCTTAGAAGAACAAACAACAACAAAAAAAATATTTTTATTATATGGAATCTTGACAGATTAAAAACTAATGTTCAGCTTTTCCGTGATTCTGTGGGGTGTTTTAGTCACCTCCTTCAGAACTCACTTGTGATCATCCTGCAGCTTGAGAAATGAAAGATGCCAAATACTGAAAGACCTCAATCCTCCTGCAAGACATCTCCTTCGAGGACAGTAACGCAGCCCAGACACAAATACAGCAACTTCCTATTTACAGGAACTTCCCAAATATTGTACTTCAACAGCACTATTTTATTAATAAAGAAAATAAAAGGTTTTCCACCTGCCCAAGGAGGCAGGCAGCTCCGAGGTACAAATACTGGAGATGAAACACCTCTGCAGCACGAGCGGCATGAAAAGCACATCCTGCTTTCTACGTAGAAAGCATTTTTGGATTCAAGGATTTGCTTTCAAATGTAGCAACCTCTAAGCCATTCAACATCACTGCCTGGGAAATGAGGTTTCTCCTTCTAAAAGCCAGAGATGAAACATGCCCAGGAATGTCACACACACTTCAGCGCTCCAAAACAGTTTAAAAAATCTTCACGCTGCTTTTGAAGAACGGCACGTGAGGCTGTCACTGCAACCCCGCACCCCAGGCAGACCCTGTTTATGGGGAACATCTGGTTGCAATTACCCACTTGCTGGAATGCAAGGCAACGATTTTTTGTTACCAATGGGGCTGAGAGAACAAACAGGACATTATTTATACATTAAAGGGAGTACTCACCCCGACACCACCGCAAGGAAGCCTGACAAACATCGACGTTAAAGAACCTGTAGAAAAAAACAGAAACAAAAACAAAACAAAACCGGACCCTGTAAGTCAAAAAGTCAAAGTTCACCAGATTTTGGTCCAATTTTATGGTAACGCTACAATCTTTCCAAACACGGTAACAGAGCGGGGTTTTCTTGCAATTTTCAGAAAACACACAGCCAACCCTGCTACAATAGAATGCGTACATACCCTATGTACACACTTGGGCTTGTTCAAAAGCCTTTCCAATATAAAAGCCTTCTATAAATCACTTATTTTTATGCAAGGTTTGTGTGCTGTCCTACATTTCAAGCAGTCATACCGACTATAAATGACAGGCATTACCAACAACTGCTCAGCATGTCTTCTCAGATGAACATTTTAACCCCTTTCAACTGCAGGAAATCATAAAAACACCCTAATTATCAGTCATCTGCAGAGTTAGTAGAAAACTTTGGAGTGCATGAGCTTCATAAAAGAGGAAGACAGAAAATAAACTGGTGGCAAGCAAAGAGAACACGTGTTTTCACTGAAAGAGCAAACCAAACGTTAAGAGTTTGAGAAAAATGGAGAAAACCATCTGTATGGCTAATTTTGCCTCTGTAAGAATTGTAACATCACTTTCTGGGCTTGAATAATAATAATATAAGCAAATTATCCTCCATTCAAAATTCTGCAGGTTTACAAACCATATACTGAAACAAGAACGCGCTGTCTTTTATGCATCGTCACCATACATGCGTGGCTTGTACATGTGTCTGTGCATCACAGGCAAATGGGGAGAAGGAAATCTGTGCATGGAGGCACTGTAAAAGATCTGGAGTATGTTGTCTGATATTAACTGGCCCGAGACTTATTTAAAGTTAATGGAAGCTAACAGTGAACTAAACTGGGTTGAGGTTTTTTCCTCCTACCAAATCAGGTTCTTCTTCTCATCATGTCTACACTGAAAGAATAAATTCCCTTAAATGCTAACTACCTGCTTTGTAGAGCGTGAATGAGCCACGATGGCAGACAGGCATTACTGAGGACCACGCTGGTGTCAAACGCCTTGCAGACACATACGTTACCCCTGCGACTGGAAGCAGAGTTAATGCATCCATATTCTTAATCTGCGTGCACAGCAAGATTCACTCTTTGATTAGATCCACATGAAAGTTCTTAGATCATCCTGCCTCAGACGTCCTGTCACATCTTTCACTGCTAATCCACACATTATTTCGATATTTATCTTCTTGACAACAATTTATGATTGCCCTTCACAAATTAAAAGCAGCCTTATTTGCCTAGGTTTAAACTTGTTCAACAGCTTCCAAAGCTTTGCATTGTCAAATGAGGTATTTTTTATCCTCAGACTTTCAAGGGTTTTAGCAACATTTCAAGAGGTAGAGTTGTACAACCTGCCTTGAACCTGCCACCTTCAAATCTGCCTGATAAAACACAGCAAAGCCCTATAGGAAAAGTAACCTCAGCATCAGTGGTGGGCTTCTGTTGCAAGTCTCTTCTACATGTGTAAAGAAGGGTACTCTTTGAGAAAGGAGTAAGGCTCAAGTAACGAGCTACAGGACAACTGCGGAAGTAAAAGTAATCAGCAGGGCTACAGTGATGCTTGCTGACAATTCTGAAACACTTGAACTATTTACCCTCTTCCAGCTTTCTCCTAAAGAACTGTCACATGAAAGGACATTGAGGCACTGGAGCACGTCCAGAGAACAGCAACGAAACTGGTGAGAGGTCTGCAGCACAAGCCTTATGAGAAGTCACTGAGGGAACTGGGGTTGTTTAGCCTGAAGAAGAAGAGGCCAAGGGGAGACCTTATGGCCCTCCACAACTACCTGAAAAGAGGCTGTAGCGATGCGGGAGTTGGTCTCTTCTCCCAAGTAACAAGAGATAGGATAAGGAGAAATGGCCTCAATTTATGCCAGGGGAGGTTTAGATTGGATATTTGGAAAAATTTCTTCACTGAAAGGGTTATCAGGCACTGGAATGGGCTTACCCAGGGAAGTGGTGGAGTCACCATCCAGGGAGGTATTTCAAAGATGGGTAGATGAGCTGCTTAGAGACATGGCTTAGTAGCGGACAGGTTATGGTTGGACTCAGTGATGTTAAAGATCTTTTCCAACAAAATGATTCTACGATTCCCCTTATCATTTGCAGAAGCTTAAAAAGAAATATTTCATGTTTTCATCTGCCAGCTTCACAAGTGCTTCCTTTTAGGTTAAGATTTTTCAGGCTTTTTCTTCCTCATAGACATATCAAAGGCAAAGAGTCTACACAGACTCAGCCACCAGTGTGTACACACGTCAAGACACTCAGATCTAACAAACTTAAATTTGCATATGTAAGCCTCACACAAAGCTTTGGTTTGCCATACATTTACCCTCTAACATATTTAAAAGAATACTCCAAAGATGTTTTGTAAATTTAAAAGCTTCTTAAACTCTCAACAGGAGAGGATGGCTGAAGAAAGGGCTGCTTACACGCTTGTTCACCTCTATACACAAATGCACACTCTGAGGCTTTTCAGGGAGGTTCTCCCAGCACATCAGCAGCTGTTATCCTCCCTCAGGTTCCAGCACTGTAGAAGCCATCAAGTTAAGAAACTTGTTTTAGGGGCAGCATTGCCCTTCCTGCCCTGCTCTCAAAGGAGAACTTCTCCCTGGATGCTATGCAGACATCCCAGCCAGGTTAACTCCTCTTGGCTCTTTGGCTTTTCCCTCTGGAACCCTGGTCATCAAGCTATCAACTTATTTTCTCCTGCCTTGTGAGGTGACTGGCAGTCACGCTGAAAGACGAAGCTGTTTGCTCTTCCTCCAAACTCAATGTTTCCCGTGAGTGCCAGTGCCAGCTGTGGCGCATGCACAGCTCCACGGGCAATGGCAGAACAGCCGGGCAGTAGGAAGCAGCAGTCCACTGCTATATGGGCAAAGATAGTCCTGCAATCTGGCAGAGTCTCCTTCTGCTAGTAGTTAAAAAAGTGCCGAGTGGATTTAGGAAACGAGGTCTGAGCTAAGAGCTACTGGAAGCCTTTCCCACTTGAGATCCTGGGGACCTGACCTCCTGCCTGTGACTGCAGCCTCAGAAGGTTTATGAACAGCTGCTTGGCAGCAGCCAAGCCTCAGGGGTAGCCCCAGCCAAGCTCTAGTCTGACACCCACAAACAGAATTATGGAATGGTTTGGGTTGAAAGGGACTTTAAAGATCATCTAGTCCAACCCCCCTGCCGGGGACTGGCATCAATCCATTCCACCAGGAATGGTTCAGCAAAACCCGGGTATCCCCAAACCCAATACTAACCAAATAAACTGTTTGTATCTCCACATGTAGCCGTGGAACTACTGATGCAGACTGTGCCAAGAGTCAAAGAGGCAACAGAAAAGTATCTCAAGAGGCTCTGACATCTGAATGAGCAGGAAACACTCAGTGTTATCACAGTCCACCCCAAAAACATATCTTGCAAGGAGCATCTCCTAAAGAAGAGGGGTTAGGGTGACCCACTGCCTGCTTAGCCCCACCATGCAGATGATGACAGCTGCCAGAGGGAGCATGCCAACCCTGTCTGCTCCAGGCTGGTGAAGCCAATGGGTCAGATGCTGGAGGACTGCATGGATCCCACTGCAGCAGACAGTGAGGACACACCTCCTCACACATGTTCCTCAGTGCTGTGGTTCAAGAATTTGCAGAGAAATCAGTCAGCGTGGAGGTGGTGCAACTGCAAATGAGGAGCCTTCTCAGATCTACTGGGGAAGATTTACACGTGGTTTCTTTGCACTGGTGGATATACCTCACACAAGGCCAGAGTTTTACACTACCAAGGATATGACATCATAAATTCTTTAAACTTTACATACTATAATTGCGCTATCATTCAGCCAGAGGTGTCCGCTTTTCATTCCTCCAGGTTTTAAAGAGGTGGTAAGTTAGCAATAAATACATTGCTAGTTGCATGTTTGAACAACTGGCTAATAGCTTTCCTCTTTGGGGATCTAATGTACATACTGAATATGTTGCAAAATCTTTCCAGCTCTTTTGCTGCCACTACTACATCATACAGGCCATCAAGTTAATCCTCTTTTTATATCATCTAAAGTCAAGCTAATCCCAAAATAAACTTTCTCAACTGCTTTTTGCTGATCCCCATGTGAGAACTTCCCAGAGTGCCCCTCCAGCCTATCACCTACTGCTGCAAAAAGGCACAAAGTAAAGAGAGAAGATGACGTCTCCACAGAGGTAAGGAGCTAAAATAAATGTGGTTTGGTTGCTGGGGGGGGGTAGTTATCTGAACAAACACCCCCCCAGGTTTTTTTGCAGGGAAAATGTCTATATTTTAAGGCAGATGCAGCCCTGTTTCAGGAAGATCCAGTCTCCAGTGAAAGGGATAAACAATCTTACTCCAAATTAAACAAATGTAAGACTATCTAAGAGGCCCCCACATCTTTCTTGTGGATTATCCACACAAAACTGACAGCTATTTGTTGATGTCCATGCAGCTGGTGGGTGCTGCAGATCCAGCTCTTTAGTAGGGTGTTCCAGTTCCTACGTAGCAATGGATAACTTTCTAACACGCAGAGCAGAGTGTACAAGGATAAAATAAAATGTCTGAATTGCCTTTCTTCCTCAGGAAAGCCTCCTTTTAGGTTTTGAAGACATCAAAGAAAGGACGTTTCACCTAGTTAAGGTTTAGAGATTTACCTGAAGTAAGGGAGATGTATCATGTACTGCTCTCAAGCAGACACTGAATGGAGGTGAGAAGAACCCTCCTGGGAACTGCCCAGAGCTGAGGATGGAGGGAGCACCATGTTCCACCTTTCGTACTGGTACCACTAAGTGACTGCCAGAGTCAGGGCTGAGGACAGTAGCGGGGGTGCGGGAGGTCAGGAAGGGGACCCCCCACCAGGAAACAGTACCTAGAAGTTTCTTGCTGTCCAATTTCTGTCTGTTCAGAGGGTTTGTGCCGTACAGCAGCGTATGGGCTTCTGAGTGAACTGTCTGTAGCTCTTCTAGAGTTGCTTTTCTTCCACGAATGCACTGAAAGAGGAAAGAAAAGGGGCGATGAAGTCACTGATTAACTGCTTAACTCTCATTAAAGAGCTTTTCTTTTTAACTTAGCGAACCATGAAGACAATGAACAAAATCTGAAATGGGCTCTTATGTGGAAAAAATGTTCTAAGACAGATTTTGGTTTAATCCCTTATTCAAAATACTAGCTTGACATATAAAGGCATCTTTAGATTTATTTATGTTTGTTTTAAAAAGACTAATCACAGAGCACTTGCTAAATTACACAGGTATTGCTCGACCACTGAAAATTCATTATTTCAGTTATAAGTCATTAGAAAATGATTCTCTGGTGAAAATGCGTCCCTCTAAACCACGCTCTGACATGCCCACCATGATTATTATGCTAACCTAAAAAATTTTCACAAACACACTGCTTTCCAAACTGAACCTTCGAGCAACTAAGGGTCAGTTACAAACTTTCTGCTCTAAAACTCATCTCGGAAATCCCACAAGATATCATCTGTTGCAAACTGTTTTCTTATAGGACGATACAGGTTGAGCTGCAAGTACTGCAGCAAATATGTTCAGCCCTGCTTTTGTTGCCAGCTGAAACCCAGAAGGGCAGACACACGCCAAAGTCAAAACTTGGGCTTCACTGAAGATCATGGCAAAGCTTTCACTGATGTCAACAGGATCCAGCTTCGCATTTTACAAACTGGAGATCTTTTCCTCTTTTTTGCCATAGGGGGCCAGCAAAACTTTGGGGCTTATCTTTTGTTGCCATCACCCATTTGCAATGAGAAATAAGTTTGTTAGAACGAAGTGCTGCTTGGAGATGCTAAATCTTGGGCGTTCAAGGACCAAGCCATGGCCTCTCGCACAGGAGCGCTCCCCAGCAGGCAGACAGGATATCAGGTATACCCGAGAAGGCGACCAACTCCCGGCAGCAGAAAAAAACACCTTGCCTTTTTTAACCGGGAGCTGGCGACTACCTCCAAAATGTTGGCAGGGGAAATAAGCAGTGAGTTGAGAAAGTGCTGAGGTTGGAGGTAAGTCCAAAGGTGGCTATGAGAGAGGGGAAGGAGTTATTTAGAAATAAAGATTGCTCTGCTTCAGAAACATGCATGCGCTCCCCTCCAAAACAAAACAAAGCTAAAGAATTACTTCATATGTCTAGAATTGCTTCATGATTTTTTGTCATGATTTGGACAAAAACACTTTAAAAGGGGATGTCATTTTGGGGGTTATTTCATACAGAGGGCACAACAGGATTATTCCTCTCTGCAAAACTAATACTAAAATAAAAATATTTAACAGCGAAAGACTGGGATGATCTGAAAGCCTCTTGTAGAGGTCCCGGGGTGACCCAAGACACGAGCCTCAGCAACAAGCACTCCACTGTGGAACCCATGCAGGAGTGCACACATCTCCTGTTCAGCCTTCACTCTGGCTTTGTCAAAGCCAGTTGCTTTTTTAAGACTTCCACGTTTCCTGGAGAAGCAGAGTTTCTAACGAGAACAACTGAAAAAAAAAAGTGGATAGCTTGAAGGGAAAAAAAAAAAAGAGGGGAAAAAAGAAACCCTACTCCTAAAAAGCAGAGACTTTCAAATGGAAAACTTGTTCCAAAGAGAAGGTCAAACTGTGCTACCCGCTCCTGAGAGCTGCTGCTGCTCAGAAAGCACTGCCGTGTGCTGTGGGCTTTGCAGGAGTGCGCTGGAGACAAGGTGCTTCAAAGGCATCCGCACTTCCCACCAAGCTCTGCTGGCTTTTGCACAGCATCCACCTCGGGCTGCAGCCTGGCCCAGACAGAGCGTCCCAAGGCGCAGCACACTGGGGGCACAGGGACTCCAGGACCTCCTCCTCTGAAGCAGAGCAAACTCAAGGCATTTTTTTCATCTCAAACCTTCAGCGTAAACCTCCATCACATGTTGCAAAGTCCACAGGAAATAGTTTTGTAAAAACCATTTGAGGCATAAAGGCAGCAGAAATCAAAGCACGGCAGGAGCACTTGTGCGCTCTCCTAACTTTGGCATTTCTGCTCTCCAGTTCCTGTTTCATTCTCTCTGTGCTCTGCTCTACCACCTAGCATTTCCTGAGGTTAATGATGAGGCAAAAATACAGCATCCCATTAAAGAGGCAATAATCACAAAAATGCTAGACCCAGAAGGGATGGAAATCTCTGGCAAATCCCCCTTGAACTTTTATCCTGTCTTCCTTTTTCATTCGTGGCAAGCCTGCCTCAGTCCCCCCTCACAGGCTTTTACAGCTTCCCTCTAACCCATATTGCCAGCTCTTTTCCTTTGAACAAGATGGACTGACCCATTTTCAGCTGCCACATTTAGGGGATGTACAGAAACAGCATTTTTTATTTCTTGGCACCAGGTGAAGGCACCAGGAGAACGGCAGCCCCTCGCAATAACACACCAACTCCTCTGTGAATACAAATGGCTTCAGCTCTCCAGGATGGGGAAGGGCTGTCCTACAAAGATCTCCAAGCTCCATGCTCTTTAGGAGGGTATCAGTGCCACCCTTCCCTCCATGTGACATCCGTAACTGAATGGAAACTATAAGCACACAGAGAAATTCCTTCTGTGTTATAAGGAAAACACATTCAAGGAAAAAGCTACTCCTTACTGAGACAAATCTATATCACACACATCACAGCAAGCATTGCCTGATTAGAAAGGATTATGCTTGAGATGCTTCTGTGACTTTCATCTCCCAGATCACACGCCACAAGCTTTGTCCCTGGCTCTAACACAAAGACACCAAGAAAATGAATTCAACCTACCCCTCAAAAAACAGCTGAAGAACACAACGCATCCCTCGCTCCTGTTTCCAGACCCATCACGACTTGTATTTCAGTCTGTGGCTCAGCCTGCCATCCATGCTTCTAATTTGAGCAGTTCTTCACTTTCTAAAAGCTGTTAAGTCATGAAGTTTTTATCTTCGATGCTTCACATTGCCTATTGACCTTGCTTACTCCATACTAACTCCCACTCTCTTGTCTAACCTCCTTCGTGGCTGCTGAAACCTGGGTTTCCAGATCAGGATCTGGCTTCCTAGCCCTGATAAACTATTTGTCTCTACTCTATTTTCTTCATGCCTCTCTCTCCACAAAACCTGACCTTCTCAACATCACAACATCTCTCCTCTCCCACAGTGTTACACATGTCCTGCTGCACTCTTCATCTATTTCCTTGGAGCCAGCTTTTCCTTTGCAATCTAAAAAAAAACAACCAAAAAACAAACAGCCCACACCAGTCTTTTAGTTTGCATTTCATTCACCCTTTCACCCCATGATATTTCAATGAGGGTATGAATCTTGAGAGACCGTGAGCCAGATCTTGTTCCAACTGCAGCTTCAAAAAAGCCACAAAAAGTCAGGAAAGCAGCTATGAAGCTTCTCTGCAGTGACCTACGTCCCAGGCATCGCCTCCCCGCATGCCCTTCAGTGCTTTGTGCTGGAAAACCTTGGGCACAGAGTAGGACTTCAGAGGCTTCACCATCCAGACCCATGCTGATCTCCAGCTGGACACACACCCGATGCTGTGCCAGGAACGCCCTGGACATGGCTCTGCTCTTACAGATGGCCCAGCCCTGGGTCTGGTTTTTCACGTCAGTCCTCCACCGATGCAATTAACCATCAGCTAACAGTCCTCATGCTTTAAACAACACAGGATTGCTGCCAAGACTTGCTTAGAGAAGGATCTTGGTTGAGAAATTTGTTCTTCCCTATCCTGGTCGAGCAGCCTGCTGATTTGATTACCTCTGAAGCAGCAAAATGCACTGATTTCCTCAGGCTCTTGATGAGGCCTGGGAGGATTACTTTATACCGTGATTGCAGGTTTTCTTTTGGGGGGTAGAGTCTTTTATTGAGATTGCCTCAATTAGGATAATTGTTGCTTTTAAATTCTGAACATACACCAAAGTAATTGCTGTATTTTATAAAGCTAACTTAATTAAACAAGTAATACTCTAAACCTCAGCTGTCATTAAGTTTGGACAACTGCTTTCACTCCAAAGGGTCATCTTTAACCTTGCGCAGCTCTGCCAGACTCATACCCATCACACCACAAATCTGGCACATGTTTTCCCCTCAGTGGGATGTAAAGCAGTTTTTGGACAACTTTAGCATAGATATCTCTGTTTCACTGCTGGAAAATAAGAGGTGGGGGGAGAAGTGACATGGTTTTTTTTTCCTGTTGTAAAAGTATTTGTGCCCCTTCTGGATCTCTTCTATTGTCTCCGAGAGAAATGGTAGGGACTCAGCACTCGGCAGGTTGTCCAGGAGCCTCTCAGCTGCCTGATAAAAACAGGTTTTCACTTAGTTCTCTTCTGAAATTTCAAAGCAAGCATTTGTTTGCATGCATGATAAAAATATTTATCTGTGAGCCCTTTTCTGGCTCGGGGCATGTGCACAACAGAAATACCAAACGAACATTCCCAGGAGAAAGAAACCAAGAATTGTCTGAGCTTGCATGAGAAAGCAGAGCTGGGATTTATTTTCAGTGTGCAGTCGCAGATAAAAACGAGAGCTGTTAAACTCCTTCTGGAAGAGGACAGGGATCCAGCAGAGTCCTGTCTGATCCCACACAGTGTGTATGGGATTGTTTACTATGCAGGGTGCTGTGTTTTTAACCCGTGTCGAGCAACCACTTGCAACCAAACCATACCCACACCCAGACCACAGCAAAGGACTGTTAAGGAAGGAAGGGGAACGTGAGGATAAAGCAATGTCAAAGTTCAAACTGTCCTTTTACAAATACGAGTTGGAAGAAATGGATTAGATTACATAATCACGATTTTCACATCAGGCCCTTGGGCTTACTTAACTGGCTCCTAACATCTGAGGCACAGGACAAGAGACCTACAACTGTGAAAAGAAAACTGAGTGTGCACAGATGTGTCAGGCAGCAAGACCAGCTAACAAAAAAGCCAACAATGTAGAATAAACCAGGAGCTCAGCAGAAATTGAAGTGTACAGCCTAGCAAATGTCCGAGTGCTATAATCCAGGTGTTGCTGCTGACTCGCTGCAGACCTAGTATTAACTCCGAAAATATTTGCCTCTTTCCGAGTGCCTGTAGGGCTGCTATGCAGATGGAGCAGTTATAATCCATTAAAAAATTGTAGATACATAACAGGCTACATCACTATCCTTGTATAAAGAGCTCTGCTAAAGTTTTGTACATCACACACTACTGTGGGTGGGGATGGAGGGCATAGCTCATGCTGTCCCACATGCAGCTTTGGCATAGGCAACAGGGATTCGAAAAAAAAAATATAATTATTAAAAGTAATCGTAATTATTAGGCCAGACTCTGAAATGCCTTCTGAATCAGTCCCATCACGGAGCATGTCCCACAGAATAAAGCTTCCTACATGTTAAGACTACAGCATTCCTGTTCTTGTGGTAAGGAGACATCCCAGGCAATCCTGACCACTTACCCCCACGCTCCAACCTAGCAGCAGAGATCACTCGTGTCTAAAAAGCTGTTCCCTTGCCATGCAAGTGCACGTGACGTGAGGGTAGTCTCCACTGATGTGTCCACACTATAATGCTCTCCACTTTGCTCACTGATAGATTCCAACTGAGGAGCTTCAGAAAGCCTCTGAGGGGAAGTGACCAAATGGCTTTGCAATGTGGAAAAGAATTACATCCATCAATGACAGTGGAAAGTGAACTAACAGCTCCAGAAAAAGCCCTGTCAACATGGTGTTGAGATGGAGAACGGAGGAACAGGAGAAGGTTGTGCCCGTCAATCCCATGAGAAAGGTTAAGATAAAGAAGGAAACTTTAACACAGGTCTGGGTAGGAGTAGGAGACAGTGGGGATAAAGGAAAGCTAACTAGAGAGGGAAGCAATAGCAACTAGAGCAGCTGGTTACCATGAAACAGCAGGTCAGACCTTGAAGAAAGCCATCAGAGAAGGAAACACCGGAGTTAAGGCAGAAAGTTAATATCATGTATTTATTGTCTTCTGGAAAAGGAAGAGTCAAGATGAGGCTGAATGTCGCCAATGGTCAGAAGAGAAACACAGGTGGACATCAAGAACAACTCCAATCATGAGGGCAACCAAAAATATCAAAGGCAGGAAAACAATGTGGAATCATACAGTGAAGAACTTCACACATTACGGAACATCTGTAACACAAACCTAAGAGGCAAGACAACTAGCACTGCACGATTGAACCCTTGCTTCTAAACAGAGGAGCTCAACAGGAGGAGCGGTGGGGTACTTTCTTTTCTTTTTTTTTTTTTGGTCCCAAATAATAATCCCCACATGCAATTAAATGGGGCTCCGTAAACAGAAGCAGGTTGGAAATTCTTCCTTGCTCTCTTCAGCGAGAAGTTAAGGGGAGGACGGGGAACTTTAGCCAATGGCGGTGCTGCCACCACGTGGAGGTCTCTTCTGATGGCCAAGAAAATATTTCTATCCAGATGCTGGCATAACTCAAATCTACGGTGTGAGTCAGTCCCCTCAGATGCTCAAAGAACTGATGAACACACACTGCAATTCATTTATTACCACTGCTATTAGCTATGAATAATAATTATTAATCATTAGTCTTTTTATTTCAGTATCAAAGCTTTTATATTAGCTTACCTTGCTCTTAAATTATGTATGTTCAACGCAATTAATTTAACCTCTTGTGATGGAATAGTGCTTAGTTACTTTCTCCTACCCTTATTCTTTTTACAGTATCTTTACTATAGGTTGACCACTGCTTATCAAAGAGCATTTAAAAAGTTATTAAACCACAAAAACACAAACTTTTTGCTCCACGGCTTTCGTTGTTATCATTGGAGTAACAACAAACAACACTGTTACTTCATGTCTTGCTCTTATCTTTGGCTGCTTCGAAACCAAACACTCGGTGGGGATTTCCAGTTTATAGGGAACAGGACCAAAAATTACAGAAGCAGCTTCACTGCAACTTCAGGCAAGAGCATTCTTCAGTGTTTCATAAAATTTCTAACAGTCATCACAATGCAATGAAATCAGATCACTAGAAAAGTGCTCCTGACAGATACACACATGCAAGCACAAACAGCCATCTAGGAATGGATTAAATTCAGGCCACATATGGCAAAAAACATCACCAACAGCTGGAGCCATAAAAACCTAAATCCAGAATGCAGTATATAAAGTTTGCACATCCAGGTAGCAATCAACAGACTGAGCTGCAGGCTCGCTACATATGCTATTGTCCAGACCAGAAATCAGCCCCCCAAAACGCTCACAATCCAGCAGTCAAATCAGCCAGACAAAATCAAAGTTCTCCCTTTCTCCCGGGCCCACCACCTCATCTCCCCCCTTTGCTGGTATTTTTATTACCTCACACTTGCCACGGAGACCTGTCTCCTGGAGCCGGGACCAGATGCTCTGGATCCTCCCCGCGTGCTCCGGGTGGCTGTTGGTGTTTCCACAGGTACACTGGTGTTTCAGCATCAAGGTGTCATATACAAGGCCTGCAGCAGAGGTTACAAAATTGTGCTCAGTTAAAAAAAAATAAAAAATACATTTTTGCTGGATATATGGAAAAAAACATTTTATGTTTTTACCACAGTACTTCATATTCAACTGCACACTTATAGACAAAGACTGTGTGTTTTACCAGGAGCCACAGAGCTCTAAGAAATGAATATCCAAGATGCTGCTTTGAGACAGCCCTAAACGTGCAATGATCCCTTCCTCTGGAAATCCTCAATGGACTGGAAAAGAAATTAGCCACCAACATCTCTGCAGGCTGAAGTCATGAGAGTGACAGAAGGAGGTGACAACTGAAAGCATCGGCATGAGTACAGAGGTATTGGTGTAG